GAAGAGGATCCTGTCTCTGGCTTCTCTGAAAACTTTTTCTTCTCTGCTCCTTTTGAATGGTCTATCCTTTATTCTTTCATTGTATTAATTCAGACTTCGAACAATGGGGTTTGCATTGGTCAGGGTGCCTGCCTCTATACTTGGAATTTTGGAAATGCTCCTGCAGTCTCTGTTCGGCGCTTGATGAATGTTCAGCACTTCTCCCGCTTGTTTGTTTTGGTATTTAGCGGCATGCAAAAGCATTCTCCTGCATGAAACGCTACGCAGCAATGCACAGCTTATGGTTTTACATCGACTCGAGCTCTGTGGGATGTAACCCTTCCACTTGCCCTTTGTTCCAGTGTGCTGCTTGTGTTCCTGTCCGAACCTTCTGCCGTCTTCCTTGTGCAGTGCTAGCTGTGCTGTTGGGTTGTCCTGTGAGCCTTATTTCAGTGCACTCACCGGCCTTTTCCAGTTTCGCTTGCCTGATCCCAGCCTCTCTGTTCTGTCGAGTACCGCATCCTCAGTGACTATGGGGGGTCACCAGGCCGATGTCCTCCGAGGGTTTTGAGTACAGTCTGACCTAAAACGATACAAGAAACAGGAAGCAGTTTGTTGGGTTTACTTGCCATGTTATTTGGATCCAACTTTTTAGTTTGTAAATTGTTGTAAATTCCCAAACCTCTGTTAACTCAGTCTTGCCTAGTTTTGAAACACGGTGCTGAGCAGCTTGGCCATACTGCAACTCCCTGTGTGCGGGAACTGTACGTCCAAGCACTGGCTGCAGGGTTCTGCCGCTCTGCCCAAGGTACCCGTGTTCGGGAACGAGTGTTGCCGGTCAGCTCCTCTTTACCTGGCCAGTCTTCTCAGGGGCCCGAGCGTATCTTTTTGAGATGAGAGTAACGCTCACGTGGAGGGCGCGCACCGATTCTGCGGTACTAAACGCTTTGTACTGCGTATTTGAACATACCAACCCCGGAGGGCAGTCTTGAGCTAAGGCCTCACTCAGTGGCATCCAGAGGATTTGTTCTTTCCTAACCTCACCTGCTTGAGGATTTCTAGGTGGAAAAAGAGAGATACATTGCACAGAATTACACTCCTTCTTTTAACAAACGCAGTTACTGGCTTGACCAGAACCTGTAGGAAGAGGTGCCGGGGTACTGTGAGCTGCTGCTTCAGAAATCTGCGTGATGCCAGATCCGGGCAGTTGCGGGTGCTGCGAGATGGGTGCCCCGGCGCATCGGAGCAATGGGAGCCTGCCGGATGCGTTAGACGAGGCTGGAGAAGGAGGCTGCCGGTTTGATAGCGGAGTCTCCGACTGCTAAAATTCATTGTGCGATGCAGAAGGCGGGGGAGGGACGTGACTGCAGGCAGCTGGGCATGGGCAGGCAGACAGGTTCAGGAGCAAAGGGCCAGAAAAATGTTCCCGCACTCGTGTCTGGGGTGGAGGAGGCCAGGCCACTGAAACGTTTGTTTGCAGAATATTCCTCAGGGGGTTTTTGCAGTGTGATCTCATGCTTAGCAGATGAGCACGTATTATGTGAGAGACTAAAGATAGGACCGAGATTTGCAAGATCACCCTCTTCCTAAGGACATGTACCATCAGCTGTCTGTCTTGTACTTGCATTATTACGTTCCTGTGTCGCTAGCTGAATGCCTGCTATTTATGTGTTGATGAATGAAGTGAGATGGGCTGTTTATAAATTTGCATGATATAGATGTATTATAATAAAATATGGAAAGAGGAGGAGGGTTCTTCCATAGTATCTGGCTTTGCAGGTCTCACAAATATTTTCTTTTAATTGAAACCTTGTTTAAATGCCACAGTAAAACTGGCTGCCAGTCAAATGCCAATCACCACAGATATGTACAGCATTTCTTGTTATTAATTGGATGCGCATTATGCTGCTGTTCTCTGTACACCGAACCAGTATGCAAATCTGCTGGTGTTCATTTTTTTGCTGAGGTATGTGCAAGAAAAGCATCCTGCTAACTCGGCCTTGGCTGTAAACGTAAAATAGGTGTCTCCATAATGGATTGTGTTGTTTCTTGATAAGATGACACCAATGTAATCATTGGAACTCTGCACAGTGTTCCCAATTATTGCAGGAAAACACTGAATTCTGTTCTGTGCTGAGTTAGCTTGAAGCAAGAGAACGTAAGTGCCTGCAGAACACAGGGCGCTTTGCAGCGCACGTGCTCTGGCTCCTCGTGTCAAAGGGCTGACAGTGAGGGGAGGGCCCGGTTGTCAAAATGGAGAGCGAGCGTCCAGTTCTTCCTGCTCCGAGAGTTCCCCCTGTGGCCTGTCTGTAACCGCATGACCACAGCTTTCCTCCGACTACTTCCCACTTACGCCTTTTTCCTTTCTGAAAACCCTCGAGTGCCAAGTCGTCTTTGTACGTCCTTCTGCCCTTGGCCACTCTGCTCACACACCTGCTGTTCACACGGCAACGTAAGCTGTATTTTGCCACCCAAAAGCTTTTTGTAAAGCCCTCCAGCTCCTTAGTAAATACTTGTTTTAAAACAAAATTAGAAAGGCCATCATTTGCAACATGATTTTTGTTTCTCTCCTAGGCCTCAGCCGTACCGGGCCCTGAAAGAATCTGATAGTGCCGACGGGGAAGAGGCGGTCAGTCCAGAAAAATCAAAAGAGCCTCTGCCTCCAAGCCCTCTGCTCTCCAGCAAGGCCACAGAAATCAACCTCCTCGAAGACATTTTCCCTAACTTAGAAGTCGAAACACAGCCTCAGCCTCTCAGCCAAGCTAAGAGCCTAGAAGACCTGCGGACTCCCAAAGAAGAGGGGGATCAGCGATGCACGTTTGATTACCAGGTTTGGACAGGGTCTCATCTACGCTGGGGGTTTTGCACAGAACTAGGGCTGGCTGGCTTCCGTTACTCTCTGAGGAACGTTTTCGTATTATTGGGTAGACACATCCATTTTCAGTCATTTGTTTGTGTGTTTCAAAGTTCATTTCTGAATTAAGAAATTATTGGAATGGGACTCAGTTATAAGACAGTAACTTTTTCCACTAAAACTACAGCCTTTACTTCTAAAGGAGGAAATGTTTGCCCTATTCCTCAGAATCTGTTTTGTCCGTTGGCTATCACACAGAGTTATCTTTGAAGCTGATGCTCAGCAGTGAGAATGAATACCTGGGAATTTTCAGGTCCCCTCCAAACTGCATGTTTTTTAAACGATGTTCTTTGAATCTGGCCATTTTGGTCTAGGCATCATTTGAACAATCTAGATTGTAGAAGAGAGATTCTGTAGGAAGAATTTCACTGAGTATATGCAGCTTAGAAAGTGCCAGAGTAAAGCAGACTCAGATCTTCATGTGACGTGAAAGAATATAATGTCATTTCTACCTTATAATAATATTTAATTTAGTGTTATATCCAGATATTTCGTTTGACAGCTTTTTCCATACAGCAATTAAGGCTTCTCAATTTCTGTACCTCAGATACGGGTACGTGCTCTGTATTTGGCTAACAAGAGATGCCACGATGTCACAGCTGAACAACTCGTTAGAGGGAGAGCTGGAATTAAACTGCAGAGTCCTGCTTCTGATTTCCTGCATGTCCATCCAGGCTGCATGCTGTTGTCCCTCTCCAGCGTTCACAGTCCATGGACAGATCCTCTTGCACTGCTAGCTCAGCAGCCTGCCTTCACTTCACGCTCTGTGGTGTGAGATCAGTAAAAGTTTTGGTTTTTATGCTTTCTTGCAGAGAATGGATCTTGGTATGTCTGAGAGGAACAGGATTGTGCCAACCATGAAGCTGTCTCACGCTTACAACAAGCTGTGGAGTATGGGTCACGATGATATGGCTATTCCTACCAAGTATTCCCAAAGCTCACCGGAACGGCCCTTGACTGCACTTGGTAACATGCCCCCAATCGCAAGGAGACCCTGGAGCAGAGACAGCATTCCGGCTCCTGCAGAAAAGGATGAATCCAATCCTGCCATTCAAGGGAACATCACCATTCCTAGGCCACAGGGAAGAAAGACTCCTGAACTGGGGATAGTGCCACCACCGCCAGCACCCAGGGCTTCCAAGCACCAGACTCCAGCTGGACCAACAGAAACTCTCACCGCCCACGCTACAGGACGTAGCCATTTGGTTTCAGATCTCATCCCAGAGCCCTTCGGAGCTGGTAATGTGTCCTTAGACCCTGAAATCCAGCAGTCTGTAAATTATTCCTCTCATCCGTCTCAGCTTTTGTCCAGTGCTACCAGCACTGCTGAGATGCTCCAACCTGTCAAGGTGAAGACAGATAATACAGGTAACGAAAGCGACTACCTTCTAAATCTCCTGGATCCATTAAAAACAGCCAGCTGGCAAAGCAGCGGCCCACCGCAAGGTCCCCGCAGCCTGCAAAGCTCAGCCACCCCACCTTCTGCAGCTGGCTTTGTCTCAGTGGCAAGTGACTTCGTGTCTCCTCCAGCTGCACCATTTGTGCAGCCGCTTGGTTATCCTGCCCCAGCACCACCACCTTTTTTGCAGCCATCTCCTAATCCGTTTACGCAAACAGTGCCAGGAGCCCTTTCGGTGTCTCTAGTTAGACCCCCCAGGGGCTCTTTCACCCCCTCTTTAGGTCACGCTTATAGCTCTAGCTTCATAACACCCAATTCTACCTTCTACCCACCACAAAGAGCTCAACCAAGCATTTCAACACTATCCATGCCAAACCTGTTTAGCCAGGTTCCAGCCGTGCCGCCAGCTAGCTCCTTATTGCTGCAGAGCCACAGCCCTTCTCCCACAAGCTCTCTACAGCCAGCGTGTTTAAGTGGGCCTTCTAAAACCAGAACGTTACCGGTGGGCCAGTCCAGCTCAAAGGTAGATCCCAAACAAGCACTAGCTCTCCTGTCTAATGAACCCCCTTTGATCCCTTCCAGGCCAGCTAAGGGCTTAGAGTCAGTGTTACTATCCTCAAAATCTGAGGAGACAAAAGATCCATTTGAAGATTTGTTAAAAAAGACAAAGCAAGACGTGTCATCCACACCAGGTAAGGTAGAGCAGCTCAGAAAGCGATGGGAAACCTTTGAGTAACACTCCCAATGGCCTTTTGACGTCCCTTTGGAATTGACTGAGGGGTTTTTTGGGGTTTTTTTTGAGCCAGCATAAAACCAAGTATTTCTTTTATGGAAGGCTGAGCCAGGATAGCTGCAGGACCATCACTGTGCCGCAATTCACACGAGTGCTTTTTGCCCAGAGTTCAGAGTCCCCCCCCGTTGTCCTGGTCCCTGCAACTGCGTCCGCACTCTCCGCCACTGAAAACCCCCGTGACTCTTGCACTGACCGAAGCACGAGGGTACCTGGGGTTGGGTTTTGGCTTTGCTTTGGTTTGGTTTTCCACACACAGCTTTTCAGCCAGTACTACTGATGCGGGAGTTACTCCTTCCCGTGTATTTTCAGTCCTTAGCACAGCCGGGAGCATGACACGGCACGTTGTACTAGTGCTTTCTTCCTGCCTGTGCGGATGGTGTTTGGTTTTTCTTGCATTACACGTACAACTATCACGTTTTGCTTTCACATGGAAAGTGCGGCAAACAACCCCAGGCTCGTGTGCTGCGCTGAATGAATCCATCAGGCTCTGTGCTTGTCCTGTCCCCAAATACAGACATTCATTTAGGTTGAGCTACTGGATGAGCTTTGGTTGCAGGCTTTCGTTTCCCTCGCCCGGCACACCGAGAGGTGGCAGGGGCCTCTCTGGTGCAGAAGCGTCCCAAGTCCTCGTTGCAACAAAACCACAGCACAGAGCAGTCGCTCAGGGTCTGGTCCTGCATCTCTGTTGGGAAACTGGAAACACCAGCAATTGATTTTTCTTTTTTGGGTTTTTTTTTTGTTTGTTTCTTTTTGTTAAATACATCAGAAAATAGAGGCCATAAAGAGTATCCTAGTTCTTATATATGTGTATGTTAATATTATATATAAATATTATAGATGGCAGTATATGAATGGGATGTAACAATATCTTACTTGATTATTACAAACAACAAAAAAAAAAAGAGAAA